AGTCGGCCTCGACGTTTCGGGAAGAGTCTTCTAATTTCCACGTTCAAGGCTTACTTCCAGGGTCGGAAAGATCTCTTTACAGGACTGGCGATTGAGTCGTTGGAAAAGAAATGGGAGCAGTACCCCGTTCTACATCTCGACCTGAGCGCGCTCGAGTGAGAACGTGGCATTTCGCTGGACAAGCTAGGAGCCAAGCTAGAGAAGATCCTGAGTGACAAGCTACTTGAGTGGGAGTTGGAGTTTGGCGTATTTGAGAAGGAAGGGTGTCTCAGTGAACGCTTCGCCACAATCATACAGCACGCAGCCAAACAGTCTGGCAAGGGTGTGGTTGTTCTCATTGACGAATACGACAAGACTTTGTTGGAGACCATTGCCGCCAAACAAGACCTAGACTTCGAGGAAGCCTTCAAGGACCATCTCTCTCTCCTGGGTTCGTTCTCTAGGATGTTTTAAAACGTGAGGAACGAAAGTTACGTTTCGTCTTTTTAACCGGTATTACGAAGGTAGCGCAGGTCAATATGCTGGGTGAGATCCATCGACGGAATGGTAGTATTCTGGACCGTGATTTCCCCGCTCTTTGTGGCTTTACTCGAGAAGAACTGATTAAGAATTTCTATGATGAAATTGAGACTTTGGGAAAAACCAACGACAGTAGTACCGAGGAAGTACTTGACGTCTTGAGTCGTCGATACGGGGGTTATCGCTTCCACCATCCCGGCATACAGCTCTTCCACCCATGGAGTGTACAAAAGCGTTTTCATGAAAGTGAATTCGGTGAATACTCAGACCAGATAGGCATTCCCGAGGTGCTAAAGCTGTTACGAGAGGGCAACTACAACCTATCTGCCCTATTGGGTAGATTCGGTCTCGAGTGTGAATCCGACGTCGGCTACGGTGTTGGAGCCGGGTGTTGAACCCGGATCGCGGGGTTACTGCAACTCGTTACGGTACGTGCTTAAAAATCCCCTTGTCTTGATGTACCACTGTGGCTATTTTACCGTCAAAGATCATGACAAGCGCTTGAACGTGTATAGTGTAGCTTCCCCAAATGACGATGTCCGATTTGGAGTTGTGAGAATCACTTTACGGATGCACGCACGCATGTCCGACAGAACGCGTAGGTCTCACATCCGGGAGCTGGTTACTGAGTTGGAGGCCGGTAGGCTCAAGTCGTTCCTGCGCGAATTCGACTCCTTCTTCAATTGTTTGAATATGTTTTACCAGAAGACCGATTATCAATTTATCATTAATGGGGTGTTCTGCCTGTTGGGAGAGTTCATCAAAACTGAGCTCAAACCCTTCTCCGGCGGTGCTGGTGCCATTGCGGAAACAAGTAAGCGCATTTACAAATTTGCTTTCAAAGTGGATGGTACCGCTAAGGAGGCTCTTGATGAAGCCAAGACATTTCTTGTCCAACAAAAAGAGAAAAACAGTACCCACAAGATTTTGAAAGTGGGAGTGGAAGTGAGAACGGCGGCTCCTAATAAGCCAAAGACCATTCAGTCTCATGTCGTGACAGACTCCGACTCCGACAACGCTGCTGTCGGGAACGCTGCTGCCGCTTAGATTTGGGTACCGCCACGCACGTTGCGATATCGGCGCCCGAGGTGCGCTCCCCTTGCGACAGAATCTCAAGCAAGGGCCATCCTCGCAGGGGTTGGGTGGGGTCGTTCAATCCACACCTCAATTTTTCTACCTCACCACTCTTAAGTAATTCATACTGTCGTGTAAAAATCTCTTTGCTGGGCCCAGATCTTCGGACAGGCACCACAAAAATGCTACTAGCCGATACTAGCGGGAGTAGTGCTGGGCTTGTCGGTGGAAGAAGCTGTAGACTCGCCGGTTCGCCAGACGCCCGACAAGCCAAGCTGGAACAAGTCCTCAGTGACCAACTAGGTGCATGGGAGACGGAGGATGGTGTGGATGAGAACGAAGAGCCCCCTCCGTCGTCGAACCGTTGCAATCCACCGTGTCAAGTCACTGTGTCTACCCGTTCATGATAGCGACCTATTATCTCCGCGAAGCAACAATATATACCACGATGTCGTTCGGTTCTTTATTTAGAGCATCCGGTGGCTACAGGATCCGCTGGCTAAAGGATCCGGTGGCTACAGGATCCGGTGGCTAAAGGATCCGGTGGCTACAGGATCCGCTGGCTAAAGGATCCGGTGGCTACAGGATCCGGTGGCTAAAGGATCCGGTGGCTAAAGGAGCCGGTGGCTACAGGATCCGGTGGCGTGGGCAAGAGAAGTCGTATGGGATTCGTGTGACGAATTTTTCGTCTTTGGTCGCGTTCGAAAGGCAATCGAAAGTTACCCACGTTTGGCGAAAGCTTAAAGAACCACGAGGCGATCACCGAGGTCACTTAATCAAGACAACGAACCGTCCACGGGTACCCAATTATCCAAGACGAATTTATTGTAAGTCTAGCTCTCCGGCTTGGCCGTAGGTGCGCACAGGGGTACTGCAAGAAACGTGTGCAAGAACATGAACACGTGTGTGTGCGGTTAAGTTTGCGCGCCAGCAAAAGACGAGCGGCAGGCAACCTCGATTTTGAAGCGGTGTTATTTCCGGAATAGTCGCAGCCATGGATATAACAACTGCTGGACACGGGCCATGTCCGTTCCTTCATCGTACCCATCTTCTCCAAAGTAACCTAAGCAGAACGAACAGCAGCTGAACAGCGGCTGAACAGCGGCTGAATATCGGCTGAACAGCGGCTCCAATAATTAGTACTTTGACTTGCCCGCCCAAACTTCTGGCGGACAAGGGAACGCTTGCCACGAAAGACTGAGTGAAAGGGTGCAGCGGTGCGAATTCTACTGCCGGTCGATTACTCAAGCTTAAAAATCTCAGCGGACATACGCCAGGTCTCTTTCGGCGTAGTAAAAGTCTCGATCGGGGGCCTAGTAAAAGTCTCGATCCGGGTATTACAGAAGAACAAGTGGCTGTAGTTCTTCAGGATGAGGGACGGGATTGGTAAGCCGGGTTGGGTTGACTACATCGGGTACGTTGAACATGAGGGTGATGGCGGCGCCGCCGATCCTCCAAGCGTAGTCGTACGCCTCTTCCTCGGCCAGTCGCGCTGCTACGTCCTTCACAGCCTTGTAGTACCAGGTATTGAAGGTATCTCTTGAAACCGAGAAACGGAATGATTTGTCTGTGTGGATAGCTAGGACGACTTGTTCGCTTGTCTGACGAGTCTCGTAGGCGTGCTCATTGATGAGCATGCCCATCAATCGACGCACGATGCGTTCCTCCACCCATGCGTGTTGGCGCAGCGTATTGTTTCCCACGCGGTGGAAGTCAAAGGAATTCCGATGTGCCACTGGGAAGTGCACTTCCTCCGGCGAAGGTACGTAGGGTGAATCCACTCCCCAACTGACCAACTTGGAGAAGTAAGCGGAGACTAAATGTTCTCTATGCATCATCCATATCGAAGTGTTCCGCTGTTTAAAGGCCTCAGTCTTGATCGACGCAATTCCATTGACCTTCGCTGCCATCGCGGACTCAATGGAGTCCCCGGGAGGCCAATTGGGCCACGACCTAATCAATGCTCTGAGATGTCGGGCAAAAGCACTTAACTCGGCTATCATCTGATCGAGAACGGGGTCGGATACAACATCGTTGGATAGAGCGTCCTTGTTCTTGGAGAGCCAGAGTCCCATCGCTTTTCTGAGGTCGCCTCGTTCGTAGTCTGCGTCAGTGAGACTGGGTAGATTCGCCACCAGATCCGAAGATGCTTCTCTCAGCGCCTGGGCCGGCCACCAACGAGCAAGTTCAGACAGACTCCACAGTCTTTGCTCTGGTGACATGGCTTCGCTCTTCTCAAAGTAGTAAGCCCAGTGGGCCAGCGCCGCAGCCGACCTAAGACGAGAACGATGCCAAAACCATTGATAGGTAGACCGATAGGTAAATCCATGCCAACCAACAGGCAAGACAGTCTTTTGATAGGCTTCTATTAAACGGCTCACCACTGCTCGCTCCCGCACCGGGCTTGACTCCGTCCTGAACCGAGGAAAAATCCATCCAACAACATCGGAAAAAATAGGAGTACTCAGTTGCTCGTGGCACTCCATTGTGTCGCGAGTCACAGCAACCGGTTGGGGTTGGGCGCCGTGCAAGATTTCCCTTTCTAGCCATCTAAGGATTCGTGTGACTTGTGTATCTGTAAGGTCTTTCCCTTTCAACAACCCACGTTCGTCGCCATCCAGACCACCCGTCAGAAGACTTTCCAGGTGTTCGGCCGCCTCGTTTTCGAACAAGTCCTGGAGGAATAAGCTCACCGCCCATTGATCTGGTTGTGAAATCATACTCTCTTGTACTCCCAACATCATCATAGCCTTCCAGCCATGCCCAAACGACCCGCATCGAAAACCCCGCATTTCCTGGAAAGATTTTTTTTCCAACGGATTCTCCACCTACCCAGAAGTGAGAACACCTGTCGGTGCAACACCTGTCGGTGTAACACCTGTCGGTGTAACACCTGTCGGTGCAACACCTGTCGGTGCAACGCTTGTCATTGATGGGTGGCTTGCAGGAAGTCAGCTGTTCCCCCCAAGCTTTACGTCTCCTGTGTGGAGAGACAAAGTTCGTGTCCGTAGTCCGAGTCACGAACTTTGTGTCACCACACAGGAGACGTAAAGTTTGGGGGGAAGAGCTGACTTCCTGCAAACCACCCACAAGGACGGGTTATGATCTCGTCACTAACAATTAGTAGGGCACCCTGATAACGATCAGGATTCTCGTGGTGCTCGTCGAGACAGGTCAATCAACGTCTTGGCACGGCACAAACGCCACACGGTTTGAAACCTGGATAAAAGTAACCGCCCACCGGTTGCACTCACCAGAACACACACCCGTCATACTCGCCCGAGTTTCCATAGCCCGGCCAGTTCCCGGATGTGACGGTTGTGTGGCTAAAGACCTTTGGCACCGCCTCTCTGGTAACCCACGTGGCGTAAAGGTTTAGCTCTTTTGGCACTGGTCACCTTGACCACCCGGTGACCAACCATGTCGCCAAGCTTTATCCTGAGGGCCGAAGCCAGAAGGATTTGCAGGGCCGAAGGATTATACGCTATGGAGGCCTTGATGGGAATGAGTCAAGCGAATCAGGAGGCGGTTACGGGGCTGGTATAGATAAGCCGAGAAGGTACCCCGGTGTAAACAAGCCTAGAAGCGACCGCAAGAATTATACAATCTGGCAAGGGTGTGGTTGTTCTTATTGACGAGTACGACAAACCTTTGCTGGAGGATCTTCTGGGTGACGAAGATCGCAACAGGACAGGCTCGTATGGGACTTCTCCTCGTCTGGGTGACGAAGATCGCTTACCGTTTTGAACCGTCGATACGGGGGTTACCTCTTTTGTGACCCCGGCCAGAAACTCTTCCACCCATGGAGTGTGCTAATGTGTTTTCACGACAGAGAGTTCGGCGACTACTCAGATCAGATTGGCATTCCCAAGATAGTGAAACGGATAGTAGGTGAAACGGATAGTAGGTGAAACGGATAGTAGGTGAAACGGATAGTAGGAGACGCAGTGACAAAACTGTGTCCCTTCACAGGTTTTGCCAGTCGCGACGCCCTCGACCTTAATCCGACATCAGGAACGGTTTCCAGCCCGGGCGTTGAACCCGGCTCGTGGGAATACCTCAGATCCCTATGCGATGCTTTGAAAGATCCCCTTCTCTTGGCTTACCACTGCGGGTATCTGACGCTCTTATCTTATAACAAGCCATTTGACGTATACGAAGTAGCCTTCCCGAACGACGAAGTCAAATTTGGAGTTCTGAAACTTGCAGCTCCGTTATGTATGTCCAAGAAGATGAGTAGATCTTTCATTCGGGACCTGTGTAGGCAGCTGCAGTTTGGCAAGATCGAGCCTTTCTTCAAGACGTTGGGGAAGTACTTCAAACACGTCCCGAGTCCAGGTGTAAGGATGATGGCCGTTGCCGTTGTATATTCTTAATTGAACTGGTGTTCTGCCTCCTGCAACAGTTCACTCGAACGAATGTCGGATTCCTACCGGGTGGTACTAGTGTCACTGTGCCTACTCCCCCAGGCACTCCTTTGTACAGCGATCGCACCTGCACCCATCTGATTGGGTTGGTCGTTGGTAAAAAACTGTCGGCAGGGTTACAAATGACATCTCAGACAATTACAACCACGCGCTATTTGGGTCTTGAAATTTGGTGACATTGATAAATCTTTGTTGTGAGTCAACCTCCCACCGCTTGTGCTTATTTGTCATTGTGATAGCGGCACAAGCGACCCTCCAAGCGTAGTCATAGCCCTGCTCAATTGCCGCTCGGGCTACGGTCTCATTCAAGGCTTGATCGTAGAACCGGTAGAGTGTTTCTTCATCGGTCGAAAAGGTGGTGTGTCCGGGTTTGTGCATCGAGCTAATAACGGCATCGTGCGTAAGACCGGTAGAGGCCACATGGTGGTCGATAAGCAGCTGTAGGAAACGACGCACGAGTTGTTCCTCTATCCATACTGTTTTATGGAGGTCGTATTGTTCAAGTCGATTGAGCCGGAAATCGTCGCGGTGCCCGACGGGGAAGTGGGGCTCAGTGTCCCAATCATCCTCCCAAGGGCCCGAGCCGGGGAAGTAAGCAGAAAACAAACGGTTCCGGCACTTCTGATACACGTCTCGGTATCGGTGGCCAAGAGCCTTAGCTACCTCTGACGCCACTGAATTAATCCATGGCCCCATTTGGGATTCGCTGTAGAGCTCTCCCGCCTCACTAATTGTTCGATTTGCGAGTTGAGTCCGTAACTCCTCCAAGAAGGCCTCCATAGCCCAAGTTGTCCTGTCTACTCGGTGATCGAGACTCGCATGACCGTACTGGTCCTGACAGAGCCAAAGTTCGACCGCCCGCTGGAACGAGTTGACTCTAGTAGCGAACAGGTCCGGACTATAATCGTCTCCGCTGAACAGTGGTGAATCCTTCTTGAGGTCCGCATACGCGTGCATGAACGCTTGTGCTGGATTCCAACGCGCCAGTGTGGCGAGACTCAGTAATCTTTGTTCTGATGGCATGGCATCTCTCTTCTCCAAGTAGAAAGCCCAATGGGCCAAGGCCAGAGGTGAGCATGGCCTCGGAATGGGGGGCCAGCAAGACGGATCCGACTCAGACCGGTAAGCAAACCAAGATTCAGGCAAGACAGTCTCCTTCTTGGCCTCTCTCAACCGAGCGGCCACTGCGCTCGGGTCCCGTTTGGACGTGGAAGTAAACCAATCGTTGACCTTTCCGAACTCGCGCCACTGCTCACACGCCTCCACCGTCCCACGGGTCACGGCAGTTGCACTGCACAGACCTTCTGGCGTGCACATCTTACTTACAAACCACTGAATGTCCACGTCTTCCGCCAAACCACGTTCAAGTTCTTCTGCCAACTTGTCCTCACCCACCTTCTGGAAGAACAGACTCCGAGCCCATTCACCCGGACTAAGATTCACCACTGACCCTTCCAACAAGGCAACCACGCCCGAGCCACACTCAATCGTTCCACTCTGATAACTACGCATAACACAAATCTTTTTCCTTGGACAAACACGACCGAGCCCCAACAACTCAGAAAGAAATTAATACCATGGACACGGTTTTGGTCCAATGCCAGCCGGGCTCTTGGGTGTAAACTGCGCCTACGGTAAGCCAAACGGCAAGCGACTGGATTCGCAGAGTAGCGACCCCTGCTGAGGTGTATGTTGGGGATGGGTTCATTGTTCAACGAGATGCAGTTCCCGCACGGGTTTCCGAGGTGTGATTCGGAGTCTGAATGCATGCCCTCGGTGATTGGGAGGCGCCCTCGGTGATTTGGAGGCGCCCTCGGTGATTTGGAGGCGCCCTCGGTGATTTGGAGGCGCCCTCGGTGATTTGGAGGCGCCCTCGGTGATTTGGAGGCGCCCTCGGTGATTTGGAGGCGCCCTCGGTGATTGGGAGGCGCCCTCGGTGATTGGGAGGCGCCCTCGGTGATTTGGAGGCGCCCACGGCGATTTCGAGGGGCCCTTTCGGCTTCCGATATGACAGACGAAGGAATGGCTCGCCTATCGGGTCTGTGGAGGCATGCCGGAGTATGCAAGTTTCGCCCCGTAGTTACGGACCTCATGGCTGCAAGATGAGCCGTGAAGGCGGGAAGTGCTTTTGCATGTAGGCCCTGTGGCACTCGTTCAAGGTCTGCAATTCGACAAACAAGATCCCTCATTCGGGACCTGTGTAGACAGGCAAGATCGCCGCCGCGTACGCACCCATCTTTTAGCAGACCCCGGCCAACATTTATTATAGGCCAACCATGACTTTCAGTCTTAGGTTTTCTCATCCACTGGTGGGGCCAGATCCTACGCGGGGAGGAAATTTTTCGCACAAGAGAACGAACGGGCTCTGTCTCAAGGCTTCACCTCTCGATCGTGTCCGTCGTTAGTGAATTGTTCCCTCCATCTTGTACTCCGGGCAGCGTTGCTATTCGGGCAACGTTTGTGTGCGGACAACGTTTGTGTGCGGCTGCGTTTACACAGACAACGTTTGTATCTATACCACACGTGTGTTCCCTGCAACCATAAAATCTTTATTGGGCAGCTGGCTGCTTGGTGGGCACGTCCTCAACTGGGAACGAGTGTTGGTTGAGTTTGGAGGACGCTCTCAACGTACGTCCTCAGCTGGTTGGTAACTTCGATGATGTTCGCTTCGGTGTTGGGGCGGCGTCGTTACGGAACCGTGGCCTAGTGGACGGCTCTTCGGGCGTGGAGGGAGAAGCGGTCAAAGCGAGGAGAGGGCCTCGGTCAATGAGGGAGCGGCGCAAAATAAAAAACCTGATGGACTCGGCGCTGTCGGCTGGGGAGCTGCTGGACAAAGCTCTTCTCGCAGCTCAGTCCAGCGCGAAGACTGTGCTCTTGAAACAACTGGAACAAAAAGATGTGACGCAATCTTTGGATGAAGAGACGTTGGCGAAACTGTTGAAGGCCGCACACAAGGAGGTCGACGAGAACGCAAAAGTGGCCTTGCTCAAAGCCTGCTGTAAGCAACATCTCAACGTCTGCCATGGGGAGTCTGCGGCCTGAGGGAGTCTGCGGCCTGAGGGAGTCTGGGGTCCGGGGGGGTCTGCGGTCCTGGGGGGGTCTGCGGTCCCGAGGG